GACTGATACCATGGCCTTGCGGTCACACCACACGCCTGCTGCTGTGTCCAGGACTGTGTACAACAGAAAAACGAGAGTGGTGGGGGGTGAGAAGGGCGTGGGAGGGGGAGAGGAGAGGATGGGGGGAAAGGAGGGGAGGAATGATGGCAATTACCATGGCTACGTGGTCACACCACACGCCTGCAGCTCTGCCCAGGACTGTACGTGGCAGAACGAACGGTTGGGGGAGGGGGAGGGGGAGGGGGAGGGGGAGGAAACGAGAGGGGGAAGATGTGGCCTTGGTTCGAGAGAGCAATGATCACATGGCCTCGCTATAGTCACATTGACTCACCGGCCACACTGGAGGCGTCTTCCACCATTCTGCCTCCACCCAGCGCCCCTCCAGACACGTGCAGGCGCAGACCCACAAACACCTGCGCAGATAAGGGTTTCGGGGCATGAACCAGCACAAGGTTCAGTGCAGGGTTGACTGCAAAGTTCAGGCCAGGCTTTAGGGGAAGGTTCAGGCCCAGATGTTCACAGGCAGGCAGACAGAACGCACACGCGGGCAGCCACACAAGCCAACGCATAGCACGGTATGAAGAAACTCACAGCAGCGTGTTGGTAGCGCGCCGAAGGGGACACGCCAGGTGCCACAGCCCACTCCCACCGGCCGTCCCGATGCCGAGCCAAGCCAAACGCCCCGGGTAGAGGCTGATGTGGTATGGAACGACAAGTGGAAAGTGAGGGGAACGGGGGGGGGAGGGGGGGGGGGGGAAGTAGCAGGGTCAGTGCGTGGTCTACTTTTTAGGCGCCCTAAAAATGCTGAGCCAAGTCATGCGACCCGGGTTGGAATGGCACGGAACGACCAGTGCAAAGTGGGGGAGGGGAAGTGGCAGGGTAAGTGCGGGGAAGAGATGCATTGGTTGGGATGGGAGGGTAAAGAGCAAGGGTGTGGAGAAAGAAAGGAAAAATCGAAAATGGGCATGTCAGTCCCCACTCAAGAGCTCACCACCACCCTAAACCCACACGGTACACAACTTACCACGCTGCTGCCGTCTCTGCCGCCGCACAGCAGCAGCAGCCCGTCGTGCCGGGCGCTGGCAGTGGCGTACATGCAGGGCGGCGGCCCCTCGCCCTCGGGGTCCAGCTTCTTCCACTCGTACGGCTTCGCTGCCGTGTCCAGCGACCACACGTCTGACAGCGGGCGCTTGCCTGTAGGGCGAAAGAATGATCCACCCACACACGCACGCACACACACACACACACACACACACACACACACACACACACACACACACACACAAAAGAAAAGAAAAAAGAAGGTTCGACACAACACAGCTGGTACAGTGGAACAAGCAAGTAGGACCTTAGACCCTGCAGGCGCTTCAACACCACCAGCATTACCCATCCCATTCCCCATCCCTTGGGACCCTGGAAGCGCGGCTTCCAAGCGCCAAATCACACCTCCGGCTGTAGCAAAAACAGCTAAGGCCCTGCGCATCCCTCTCACCGTCGTTTCCGCTGATAGAGAGCAGGAAGCGCTGCCCCACGAGCGCCATGACGTGACCATATCGAGGCCCAGGGCCCGCTCCTTGCACCACCACTCTGCTCGTTACAAGCACACGCCACACCACCCACCACAACAGGAACAACATAAGAAACGGCCCTCAACCAAACACAATCCTGTGTGACCAAAACCGCAAGCAACTCCTCTGAAAGCTGATCCTCTCAATGCTGCTCTTGTGCTTGAGCGCAGCACGATAGCACAAAAGCACAACAATTACAACATCACAAGCCGCACCTGTGCCATTTGGGTCGAGCCTGAGTCAGGTCCAGCACGTGCAGGTCGTCAGTGGCGAGGCCTGCCGGCCCAATGCCGCCCTGAATCACCACCATCGTTCCCACCGCCGTCGCCGCATGCGCCGCTCGCGGGGAGGGAGGCTCGCCCACTGGAGAGAGCCTGGGAGGGAAAGGGAGATATCATTGAGGCGCTTCAGAAGTGCTTGCGCTGCTTGCGGGGAGGACGCTCGCCTACAGGAGAGAGCCTGCGAGGAGAAGAAAACTTCTTCCCAGGCGCCTAGAAAATGCATGTGCTTCTCGCGGCGAAGGAGGCTCGCCTACTAAAGTTAGCCTGGGAGGGAAAGGGAAATGCGGAAGCATGATGCTAGGTCGGTAAGTAGGTGAAAAATTACGGCGAGATGCGGTTGGAAACCCTAGCATTCCGATAACGTGAGAGAAATGTGCGGATGTGAAACACGGGTGGACAGACGAACTGCGTGGATGGGGTTCATTTGCACCGTCTAGTGTCGTAAAAATGAAATCATCCTGTTCTTTGCTCCTATTTTCTCCAATACTGTCGAAGCGCAATTAATAATCAGTAACTTTCAAACAAACCGCGCCAAACCGAGCGGAAGCGCTCACTCACTTGTTCCATGTCCGCGAGTTGACGTCGAAACAATGCACATCCGCCGTGGCTCCGGCCAGACCTGAAAGATCGACGGAAGAAAAGGAAGCAGCGAGAGAGTGCGGAAACTCGAAGGGCGAATCGTTCTTGACAATGAGCGCTCTTGAGTAAAGTTAAGCTGCTTCTCAAGCGCAGCGGTGACGCCTAAATAGCCCACTCAGCAGAAGCTCCTGAAGATAACTACGGGAGAGAAATTAAAAAACGGAAGAATTTGAGAAACTAGGACGCAGCGGGAAGAAAGAAGAGAGCTTGGCCGGCAGAGGCCGGCAGTTGGTGTGTGTGAGAGTTGGTGACTAAGGAGGATGAAAAAAGAGAGAGACGGGCTGGTCGTAAGCGAGCGTACGCACATTTCAGAGCACGATCGGAACCAGCATTTCTATGCTAATAAGTGTTAACCTTAATAAAGGGGACACCGTCGCGAAATCGGCTAACACTATATTGGTCCTTGACGAAGTGTCAGCATAAAATCGATCCAGCAGCCGCTTAGCGACGGATCCCGCCACGCGTCCTGACTTACGTATTCCGGCTGCTGCTCCTGCCGCGGGACCTGCGCCTCCTTCCAGAGCCGTGGCTCCGCCGAAGAGAATCAGCCGCGGGCCGATGTAGTTCGCGCTGCCAGGCTCTCCGACAGGCGCGACGGCGGTAAGCGTGTGACCGCACCGGGGCCCGGGCGACTCCCCTTCGAAAGCGCATGGCGTGTAAGCAGGTGCGATACGCGGCGGTTCCCCGTCCTCCATTTCCATCTTAGCTCTTAAAACTAAACCCTAAGCTCTTGACGAAAAGGTTAATTTTAGAGCCAGAAGTGAACTGTGGAAATAGTTTTGTCTGTTTATCAGATTAAGTGCATGAGGACGAAAACTTTTAAATGCCTCGAATGCAACGAGGCTCGCTCTTTCTGGAAAAGCATCCGTATCGCGCCTACGGCCTAGCTGAACATGCGTTTTCTACGCAGCTATGTAGTCGTTCCGTACAGCCAAACACCCTTGAGCCACGACAAGACCTAAACAGCGAGAGGACCGAAAAAGGACCTAAACAGCTTGTGGCCTTACAAAGGACAAAGGTGTTGAAGGCAGCAAGACTGACTGATTGAAATAAGGCTTTGGGATTGTGTTTCGGTTGCCTACCTCCAGCTGTATCATGTGATGGTTAGGTTTAGCTAAAAATGAGCTAATTCAACGGTCTGGATGCGCTTCCTGAACCGATTACATCACGGTTACCAGTTATTTTCCAGCCTATCGTTGGTTTTCACTTGGATCAGGCACGCCTCAAGTCTGCCGCCCTCGAGCTTCCCCTGGTGTGTGCTGCTGAGCACTTGGGGTTTCCGCCCCGTAGCCCTTGAGCTTCCGCTGCCGTGCTCTAGCGGCTTCCGTGCGCGAGTTTTTGCGCACCTATTCAGAACATACAGGCGCGAGTTGAGGCAAACGGGGACAGAATGGTGCTACACCATGCATGCATGGCAGTATGGTATGTACGGTATGCACTGAAAGGTTCACATGGATACCAGCGTAGTCCCCGTTTCCCGCCCTGGTGTTTCCGCGCACTTCGGTTCATTGGCTCGGCGCTTGTTCTTGGCTGCGCAAGCCGCAGACCTGCCCGGGTGGCCTGTTTGGTCTGACGAACTCAGCGAACTTGTAACTGAAGGGAATATGCTGCACTTGGCTTCGCACAAAGAATACTATTGACCAACCCGATTTGCTCTTGCCCGAAGGGCGGGATGTCATTCTTGTCAGAGGAGCTCGGGCTTCGCCTCCGCAAGCGCGCCAGAATCTCCGCATCGCCTGATGGCAGGGTTGACGGAACGGAACCTGATGTGTGGCTCCCCACAACTCAAGCAGTGTTGCGACAACAACCTGACGGACGATGTGACTGTCTCCGTCAGGGATGGTCTGCACGGCAATCCCTAAGGACGCGGTAAAAGTAGACAATCGATCGTCAGTCGCGATCAATATGCGGATTGGTTACCCTATTAACTACGCTGTAACTATGCTACAGTACGTTTTCTGCCAAAATTTCTGTACAGGGTGTGAATGCGACTGATCACTGATAGCAGGAGATCTGTCAATTCTCAGCTGCGATCGTTACAACGTTGCGGTCGCCACGTTTCGTCAATCGATCTGCCCACTCGATTGTGGGGCTCGATATTTGCAGACGATCTTGCGATATTTGCACTCTTACCGCGTCCTAAAACATGGACTTCTGCACGGCAATCCCTACAAACAACAGCACAGATGCACATCCACCCACCCCAACTCAACCCTGGGCAGTCGTAGTGCGAATTTCTAGCTGCTGGTTGTGTAGGTGCTCTGACTGGTAGCTTTTTCTCATTCCACCGCCGATGTGCAGGTATAGTGAGGTGGCTCCAATGTATCTAGACTAGAGCAAAAAGTGAAGCATTTCCAGCAGCAGGTGGTGCAGTCTCTGGCTGGTAGCATTATTCTCGTTCCATCCTTCTTTTCTGGAAACGATGAGGTGGCTCCCTGCCTATCAAGACTACGGCTTTCTTCGAACTTGCTCTTCATTGCTGTAGCGGTTGATTTTCGTCCTCGAATTCGCTATGGGTCAGGCGAATTCGACGGCGGGAGAATGGCCCTACCCTGACTTCGCAATACCAGCGAATCTCAGTGCACCCTCGCTTTCAACCCTCAACCAACCTTCCACGCCTCATCTTAACGAATCGGAATCAGCCCGAGCCTCGCTTGCAAGCTTGGAAAAACTCCTAACCGAGGAGGACTGGGTCCACGACGCGGTCTCTAATCTCCTCACGCAATACGTCGAGAAGATATCCAGCGCCGCGGTCGTTGCCACGTCAGATCTCACGGCTGCTGATGAGCAAGACCACGAAGAGGATGGGGACGCAGATAGCGATAACAAAGAAGGGGACGAATTTTCTTCAGATCTCCAGCAGAACTCCTCGCTGCCCTCCTCGTATAACGCCACGCCCTCCCCTTTCGCGGATTACCCCACCTCCCCTTCCGCCGCCTCCGCTTCCCCTTCCCCCTTCCGCCTTCATGACTCTCACTCTCCCGCACCTGTCCTCGCCACCACCGGAAGCAGCTACCTCAGCGGCGGAGCGGGACTCCCGCCGCGACCCCCGGCGCCGTCGGCGCCCGCGGCGCTCCAGCCGGAACAGACGGTGCCGCAAGGGCCGCTGAAGCGACTGTCCACGCGGCGGCTGGTCGCGCTGGCGGTGGAGCGGGCGGGGGAGGTGACGTCGCGGGAAGCGCAGGAGGTTCTAGAAGCGGCGCTTTTGCGCCTAGCTCGCGCGGAATACGATTGGCTTGTGGCAACCATTCAGACGGTCTCCGCATCTGTAGCCGCAACAGCCGCCGCCGCAGCTATAGCAGCCGCGGAGGCGAGACGGCGCGCGCGGAGGAAGGCGCGGGGGGAAGGGGAGGTGGAGAGCGCACTCGGGGGGTTTGATTTCGCGGGGTTGAGTGCGCTGGCTTTCGGGGTAACAGGCGCGGCAGAGCAAACCCTAGCACACGTGGGTCCGTTGCCTCCGGTAGGGTTGGATCCGTTACAAGTAGAAGAAGTGTTTGTTTTGGGGCTGGCTATGTGGGTAGAGTTCTGGAAGGAGTGGGGGAAGCCTCCTGTGCAGCACGGGGCAGGCGGAGCCGTAATGGGTGTCACTGGCGGGGGAGTGGGCGCAGGCGGAAGGGGCAGCGGCGGCGGAAGCGGACTCGAGGGCCATGGCGGGCTGGGGCTGGAGTCCCCCGTCGGGGGAAGGGGGGCAGGCGGGGGGAATGGGTCAATCTGGAGTCCGGTCAGGGAAGAAAGCTCTGTTTCGGGATATGTTAATCATGATGCGGGGGGAGAGATCAGCGGAGGGGGCTTTGGGGGCTTTCGTAGCGCAACTATTGGTGGGGGTGACAGCGGGATAGGCGGCGGAAGAGGTGGGGACGGGGGCTTTAGGAGCACAAGTCACGCGGAGAACACGGGAAGCTTCGCGGAAAGAAGAGGGTTGAGTCGCTCGGGAAGCAGGGCGATGAGCAAGAGTCGGTCTTTAAGGGAGGCTCGGTCGCTGAAGGAACGCGGGCGCTCGTTTAGAGAACGCTCGTTAAAGGAAGGGTCGTTGAAAGACGGAGGGAGGTCGTTTAGGGAAGGAGGCGGTGGGGGAGGGGTGATAGGGGATGGGGGGGCTGGGCGGGGAGGGAAGCACCTATTGTCATCGCTCGATTCCATAGGGCAAAGCGATACTGTAGATGTGGGGAACTTTTTCTCGGTTGACTTAAGCGATGGTGATAGTAACGGGGGAGGAGCGGACGGGGGGGGTGGGACGGACGGGGGAAGTGATTGGAGTGGGGAAGGGGAGAGGGGGAGAGGGAGGGGGCTGTGGGGTGGGGTGGAGGCGATACAAGAGGAGGAGGAATTTGGGGACCTTGATTTAGGGGAGGAGGAGAAAGTATTAGGATTTTCTTCAGATGTAAACGACAGCAGTGTGAACAGTGACCTTGTTGAGACTGAAACGGACGAAGGAAGCCGGCCGAAGCGAGAGCGTATGGTGACGATTGTTGAGCCTTTAGAGATTGAAGACCCTGCAGGTGCAGAAGACAAGGATGTGAATATTATGAACGGGTATCACTATAACGAGGATTACCATACCGAGGGCTCAGGTTTGGGTGGTGCTTCGGTGGTAGGCTCTGCGTTTGAAGCTGCGCTTCGGGCTGAGGCGGGGCGGCAGCTACAAGACAAACTGCTGGAAGAGATTCTAGAAGCTTCCAGTGGGCGGCAGCTTACTGTAGCAACCCCTGGGCCTATGACTGCGGCAGCAGGAGCAAGGGGCGTTGGGGGGGGAGACAGAGGAGGAGAAGCAGGGGGAGGGGTGATAGGGAGTGCGGAGGCATCTCAAGGGGTGGGGTCTGGTGGGATTGGCCAGGAGGAAAATAAGCTGGGAGGTTTGGGAAAAGATGGGCGGGAATATCGGAAGAGCCGAAGCAACGTCGGGAGGCTTGGAAGCAGTAGGTTCTGTGCCGAAGCTGCTGTGCTGAGCAGCAGCGGTGGTGGGTATGGGATCCGCGCAGGGGGTGGCAGCGGTTACACCGGTGCTGCTGCAGCAGGAGTGGATGGGGCGAGCAGCAGCAGCAGCAGCAGTGGCAGCAGTAGCAGCGGTAGCAGCAGCAGCAGCAGTGACCCTAGTGGATTATGGGGAGGGCCTGGGAGTAGTATCAGCACAGTCAGTACTATAAGTACTGTTAGCACTTTTAGTGTGGGGGTTGGGGTTAGAGAGTCGGATATGATTACAAGTATGATGGGTAGAATGGGGATATCTTCTGAAACTAGTGCTGCCCCGGGGCTTGGCTTGGCCGGACCTGCCGGCTTGGCTCCTGGCTCGGTAGCGGGAATTATGGTAGCAGGGCCGGGAGGCTCGGTGATGGCAGAGGAAGCAGTTCCGAACCCGGCGCCGCTCCACGTGGACGTGGTTCGGTTGTTAGGCTTGGCAGCAGCTGCGGCGGGCCACCAGCCTGCCACCGCAGCTGTCTGCGTGCTCCGGCTGCTGGACAGGCTCGGGAAGCAGGACTGGGAGGCTCGGTACGGCAAGAAGCTGGAGGCGCGGCACGGCAGGCCCGGCGGCCGAGCCGAGCACGGAGGCTCGGATTCAGATGAAGATGAGGAGGATTCAGAGGATGAGGATGAGGAGTCACTTAGTCCTGGGAGTATGGCTAGTGGATGGACCAACGGAACAGGGCCCGGGAGCAGAACGGCAGGGGGATTCGGCCCGGGGGGAAGCAGAACAGGGGGGAGCGGAGCAGGCGGGGGGAGCAGAGCCGGGGGGAGCAGGGCGGGGGGGAGGAGCGGGTGTGGGGACGGGGCGGGGTCGACGGCTACAGGAGGGGCTGTGGCGGAGTGGGAGAATGCGAGTGAGGCGCAGGAGTGTCGGGAGTTTGTGCTGCAGTGCCTGTTGGATATGGTCGATGCTGTTGCTCTCAAGTGCCAGATCAGGAAGCGGCCTGGTGGGAGCTACGCTGCTGGGTATGGTGGTGGGTATGTGGGAAATGCGGGGTATGCGGGGTATGCGGGGTATGGGGATGTTGTGGCTGCGCCTACCCCGACGGGGCAGGTGTCGTTTATCAAGTCATTTGGGGGCGATGAGGAGTTTGCTGCTCTTCTTGCTGGCTCAGCTGGTGGGGGAGCTACGGGTTTCTCTGGTTCTGCTGGTGCTGGAATGATAGGTTATTCCCCTAGAGGAGCCATGGGTTATTCCCCTACCAGCAACAGGCAGTCGCAGTGGGGAATCGGGGGCGACGTGCAGGGGGGGATTGGAGAGGGTCGGACGGGGAGTGGGGTGAGTGGTGGTGGGGAGTGGTTGGGTGAGGTGGGAGGGGGACTGGAGGAAGCTGCTTGGCGGGTGGCCTTGCTTGGGGAGGATCCGAATCATCAGGGGAATACTCAGGGGAATACTCAGGGGCATAGCCATCATGGCATGGGGGGAGAGTCTATGATTCCTAGCAGCCCGTCCGGGCAGAAAAAAAAGCATCGCAGGCAGAGAAGTTTCGTGAGCGCCTGCCCGATTCCCGTCGTGCCCCCGCCATCCAAAGCCCGGTTCGACGCTGCTGCTGCTGCATCAGCTATTGCTGCTGGGGGAGGGGACGGGTTTGGCCCTGCTCCATTGGTCGAGCTTGCTGAGCTGGCAGTTCTCCGCTCCATCCTCCAATCATCATCCAGCATTATGGGTGCATTCGGTGCACATATGCCCGCCGCCCCTGCTGCTGCTGGCACCGGCTCAAGCAGAACCCCCAGTATGGATTTTGACAGTGACCTTCAGTATAGTCACCCCCTCTTAGTGCCCCTCCCGCAATCCGCCAGCCCGCCTAAGCTTCGGCAATTAGACGGCGTGCTGGTGTCTTCCTCGGCTGGAGGTCCGGGGCTCTTGGTGCTGCTCATAGCTACCGAGGCGGCTCGGTTGCCGAACCTAGCCCCGGACGACCTCTGGCTGCTAGCAGACCGGTCTGAGGAGCTCAGGCTCGGCGAGGCTTCGGTTCGAATCCGCATCCGAGCCTGTGCTTCGACGTATGATGATCCCGAGGGGGTGAGGGAGACGGTTCGGTTGGCTCTGGTGCCTAATGGTGCCGAACCTGTTCCGAAGCGGATTGCCAGGCTTTTAGCAGCTGCTAGGTTTGCGTTGCTGCGGGCACGAACAGGTTCGGCAAGGAGGGAGTTTGCTTCGGTGTTTGGTTCGGCGCTGCTGGAGCCAATCCAAGGGAAGGAATGGGCGAGGGAGAGGGAGAGGCAGAGGGAGAGGGAGGGGGTGTGGGGGATGAGTAGTGTTGGGGGTGCTGCAAGAAGAAAGGAGAGAGAGAGGGAGAGGAGGAGGAGGTGGAGGAAACTGGGGAAACGGATATTAGAATACCCATGGGCTTATGAATTGGCTAATGGGTTTCTGGAGCTAAGTACTTTGTTTAAGCTGCCTGGGGATGAAGATGAGCAAGAGGAGGAGAGAGAGGAGGGAGAGGAGGAGGATGAGGAGGAGGAAGGAGGGAGGGAGGGAAGGTGGGGAGTTGGGGAGGAGGAGTTGCAAGAGACGAAGTTACTGTGTGCGAAGGTGATTATGCAAGTGTCTATTGAGCCACTGCTGATGCATGGGTTAGAGAGTGGGGAGAGCGAGGAGAGTGAGGAGAGTGGGGAGAGTGAGGAGGAGAGAGGGAGTGTGGATGGTGGGAAGAGCATCGGCCGTGCGAGGGAGTGGGAGAGTGGGGTAGGAGAGAGGTGTGGGAGGATTCAAGAGGAGGCAGAGGAGGAGGGGGAGAATGATGAGGGGAGGGCAAATGGGAGAGGAGCAGAGGGCAGAGAGGGGGAGGGAAGAGGGGGGGACGGCAGCAGGTCGTTAAGTGCCAAGGCACGGCACCGGCTCTCAGTGGTGGTCCCAGAAGGACCCGTGAAAGCTGGGGAAAGTGACGAAATCGTCAAGGTGGGGGGAATGGGGGCACGCAGCGGGGCGAGTGCAGCAGAACGGGCGGAGGAGGAGCGGAGAGAGAGAAAGGCGGAGAGGAGGAGGGAGAGGGCTGCGAGGAAAGAGGAGGCAGTGGCAAGGTGGGCGAGGGAGGTGGAGTATCCAGAGGTGGAGGTGGGTTGGGCGCAGTGGAAGGCGATTGGCAGCCTGCTGGAGGAGGAGAGGCGGGAGCACCGTGCGCTGGTGCCCATGTGGGGGAAGGCGGTCAGAGGCAGCTTTAAGGTGCGTGCTGAGTTGTCTTAAAGCCTCGAAGTGCATGCTGAGTGAGAGGTGGGGTGGGGGAGGAGGAGAGGCGCGAGCACCGTGCACTGGTGCCCATGTGTGGCAAGGCCGTCCGAGGAAGCTTCAAGGTGCGTTAGATCTCCTTCCCCCAGTTTGCTACTGCTCCCCCGGTCCGCCTCCTGTCTCCATGTTCCCCGATTGCCCCCATCATCACTCCCTCTATTCGCCTCATCTCTACCCCCCTTTCACCACCCACTCACCGCCCCCCCCCTCCTCTGTTGCTACTATCGCAGGCCATTCTACAGGACACTGCTCCGCCAGACCCCTTCCTGCTCGAGCTCTTCGACTGGGGCCTAGAGGGTCTTCTCACCTTCTTCTCCTCTTGCTGTCCCTTTCCCCCGCTCTCCTTCTCTCCCCCCTCTTCACCTTCCCTCACAACTGCGCCGCTCACCCCCGCCATCACCTCCCTTACTCCCTCTTCTTCGCCCCTTCCCCCCCCATCACAGGCCATTCTACAAGACATCACTCCACCAGATCCCTTCCTGCTCGAGCTCTTTGACTGGGGCCTCGAGGGTCTCCTCATCTCCTTCGCCTCGGCCGCTGACCCCCGCCAACACCTGCACCGCCACCGCCGCTCCTCCTCTTCCTCCTCCTCCGCCTCCTCTTCCCCCTCTTCCGCCTTCAAATCCCAAGGCCAGTCCCAGTCAGGATCCCACTCCCGCTCCTCCTCCTCCTCCGCCCTGTCCCCGTCGCAATCCCCCTCGCAATCCCATCCTGTCCCCACCTCTTCCACTGCCAAAAAGCCTCCGCTATCCTCCTCCCCTGCCTCCGCCTCCTCCCCATCCTCCTCCTCCTCCCCTCGCACTCCCTCTCACAAGCCTGCAATCCCCCCGCCCCGCCTCTTTCCCCAAGCCTCTGCCGCAGCCTCCCGCGCCCGCATGCTGATTGGCTGTAGCGCGTGGATTGACCAGGTTGTAGCAGTCGTCTGCCCGAAAGAAAAAGAAGTGGCAGAGCTGTTAATGGCTGTAGCGACAAGAATGGCCGACCGGGTGTTTTATAAATGGCCAAGGCACACGGATAACGTGAGGTTTATTGCGAGGTTGCTGCTGTATGTGCATCGGCAGGGGATTGGGGGAATGGGGGAGGAGCTGAGGGAGAGGGCGGTGAAGATCAGCCGGCAGCTGTGGGGGTGGAGCTTGCCCAGCTTTGCTTCAATTCGCATGCAGTGTGAGGTGAGTCGGAATGGGGGGAAGAAGGATTGCAGGAGTAGTTGGGGAAGGCAAGGACAGGGGAGGGGGTTGAGCTTGGGATTCAGAAAATGGGGGTGCGAGGGAGGTGTGGGGGAGAGAGTGGTGGGAGAGAGGGGAAGTGAAGAGAGGGAGGTGAGTACATGGGACAGGGAGTCAGCTGAGGGAGAGGGCGGTGAAGATCAGCCGGCAGCTGTGGGGGTGGAGCTTGCCGAGCTTCGATTCGATTCGCATGCAGTGTGAGGTGAGTTCGGAAGGGGAAGGGATTCCATGTGTATGTGGGGAAGGCAAGGACAGGGAGGGAGGGTGATGAGGATTTCAAAAGCAGTGTGAGAGAAGGGGCTGAGGGAAAGGGCGGTGAGAATCAGCCGGCAGCTGTGGGGATGGAGTTTGCCCAGCTTTGCTTCGATCCGCATGCAGTGTGAGGTGAGTCTGGAAGGGGAAGGGATTGCATGTGTAAGTGGGGATGGCAAGGACAGGACGAGAGGGTGATGGTTGAAAAGGCAGTGTGAGAGAGAGAGCTGGAGAGTGCAGCTGGCAGCTGTGGGGGTGGAGTTCGCCCTGCTTCGCTTCGATTCGCATGCAGTGGGAGGTGAGTCTGGGGAGAAGATCCACATCCGTAATATTCCTCTCCTGGCGTGTTCTCGCATTGCTCGTGCCCCTTCATGTTTCGTGTGCTTGTTCCTGTTGTATATTCATTCTTTCGAGACAAACGTATCATCCTTATTCATGCCTTGCCATGTCATGCCATCCATTCCATGCCGTATCATGCCATCCCATTCCATGCCATATCCCTATGACACAGACGGATGAGGAAGCACACGAGATCATGCTCAGTGCCATTGTTGCCACGTGGAAGGGTTTTGCCACATAGGACTAGCCGCCTGGAGCCGTGCGTGTGGCGTTGTAGCCATGTGGAGCAATCGTCGAGGCTTCAATGACAATAAAAACGATATACAGTGCGGAGTGAAATTGGGGGACTCTAGATTGATCTGGGTATACGCCATATTAGGCATTTCCAGGTTCTTGGAGGTGTATGGCTAGCTGATTGATTTGTATTGCTTGTCTACTAATGTATTGCTGCATACCCATTTGTAATGGTACAAGTATGAGTGTGTCTTTTTGTTCAATTGACCCACGTGGTGTAAAAGCAAGATGGAACCTTCCGTTAGATGCTTACCGCGTACCACCTCATGCACACACCGAGCAACATCACACCTCGTCATAACGGCTAGAAGCTCACATCACGATTTTTTCCTATCGTAGTCTTGGCGCACTCCCTCCTTATCTTCCTTCTCCTCGTATGCATTGCCTGGCTTAGAGTATTCTTGGTATGCACTATCATTATCACAGAGGCATCGATTTTTGTAACACGGCTTGCCGTTCAGTTGTCGTGGCTACTTGGACTGGAGATTGGCTGGTCGTTTGGACCTCTTGTTGATGTTCAACCTCAAGTTTAGTTCCGACCAATTCTCGCTTCACACAAGGCCTTTATATGTCTTGGGAATTCAGGCTGAACGTTTGAGTCGACTTTAAAGCGACCTCGCACATAGTTCAAGGAGCTAGCCTAGAGTCCGTTACTAGGATGCTGTCTCGGTGGCGGAAGAAAGGCGGTTCGGACAGCATCGCGTCTGCGCAGCCGCACATCACTTCCCGCAACGCTGCCGAACCTCCATCAGCAGGCTCGGACGTCCCAGAGCTACGATCGCATGCCGAACCAGAGCTGGAGATTCGGGCTCCAGCTCCGGCATCTCCCCCTCACGTAGATATGGTGAATGAGCTACAGACGCAACTACAGGCGGCTGTTACACGTAACCACTCGTTAGAATCCAAGATTGATAGAGCGCTTCGGGACGCGCGGGAATCGCGGAAGCTGAAGGAGGAAGCTGAGCTGGCAGCAGCGGAAGCGGAAAAACGCGCAACGGAGGAGAGGCGGGAGGCGAAAGCTGCCCGGGAGAGGGTAAACTCACTGGAAGAGAAGTTGCGGGCAGCTGAAGAGATTTCCGGGCAGCTGAGGAGAGAATTGGAGGTGGAGAAACAGGAGAGGGAGCTGCTTTCGTGGAAGCTTCAAGAAGCAGAGGAAAACGCGGCGGGACTGAGGGCGCAGGCGTTGCAAGCAGATGGACAGGTGGAATTGGCAAAAGCTGAGGTGGCAGACGTGGAAAACAGGGCCAATCACCTTGTGACACGTCTGCAAGCTGAGCTGGAGGAGATGAGGCTGAGGTGTGCGGATCTAGAGGTTGAGATTGAGGGGGCTAGAGATAGGGTATCCCTGGCGGAGTTTAGGCTATCGGAGGAAGTTGCCCGGGCAGAGTCGCTGGTTGGTGAGGCGGATGAGCTGACTGGGAGGATGCGGGCAGCTGAAGAGCGGGCAGGTGAAGCAGAACAAAGGGCTGCCCGGGCAGAGAAACGGGCAGAAGAAGCTCTGAGACTGAGGGAAGAGGCTGAAAGGGAAGTGGAGAGGTTACGGAAGCAAAGGGGCGAAGCTTCTGAGGGAGAGGAAGGGGGAGAGGGGGAAGTAAGGGAAGAAGGAAGGAAGGAGGAAGGAGGGGAGGAAGTGGGAGAAGGGGACGAAGGGGAAGTAGGTGGAACGGGTGCAAGGTGGGTGGGGGGGAGTGAGAGCGAGAGGGTTGCAGCAGCAGAGGGGTTGAGGGGGACAGCAGGGGAGGGAGCTGTTGGGAAGGAGGATCAGGACATTTAAAGAGTTTGTGAATCATGAGATGGGCACGGATGGGGCGAGGAGGAGCACAAAAGAGACGATATCACCTACACTTGAAGGGTCGCTGGATAAGTGCAGAACGGAAGCAGAATAGGAACCTGATAGAAGCTGCTTAGGCACACTAGATGGTATAGTGTTCTTTGTTATCAGTGTAGATTAGAAAGGCACTGCTGCTTGTTAGATTCTCATGGTTTGCTAAGAGTACACCAATACTAGTAATGACCTTAGTGAGTGTTGCGTCGATACACTAATAGACACTAGGCACTAAAGCATCCTAGGCTTTGTTTCTGTTACCGGTACTACCAACCAACTCCTTGTTTTCCAACAATGGTACAGCAGATCTAAGGTTTAGGTAACAATAGCGTACCACCTAGGGTACAAACATAACAGGGCTACAACTCGAGAGCAGCTACTGAGGCAATAGCAAGTAGACAACAGCATAAAGCAGCAGCCTAGCTTGCAGGGTCAAACCAAATTCAACTAAATGACACCATCAGCCTTCACCTCATTAAGGCCCGAGGGGACCCAGGAAGCCCTTTACAGGAAAAAGAGGGATGCAAAAAGGAGTACGGCAATTCCAAGCCTAGATCCTCCCAGACCTGGCAGCCTCGTCCGGGCACCTGCAGATTTCCCTGAGCTGCCAGTCCCAGCTGCATCCTCAATCTTTTCCTCTAGGTATGGATCACAAAGTTCCGCACTCACACACACACCAAACACCTGTGGGTGATGCACTGTGCGTTTCTCAGCCTCCACCAGACAAGAATACCCCTGATTGCACAGCACAGCAGCACTATCCCCGCCGAACGAGCAGTTGCTCCCAGCCTCCCCGGCCACAGGTTCGGCAGCAGGCAAAGACCCCGAGCCTCTCGTGACAGCCTTGGTGGACATTGTGGACGACGGTGCTGAGAGGAGGTCCAGCGAGACGTTCGGGCCGAACCAGTGGCTCGGGGCGCAGATCCCTTCGTAGGGAATGACAGCACCTGCTGACTTGATAAGTTCAGCATTGCTGCCATTGCTCACAACGCCCAGGGGCGATATAGCATTGCTAATGGTGCTGTCGCTGCTGTTACTGCAGTCAGTGGTAGCAGGAACCTCAGCGGAGGCATCAGCCAAAGCTTGTAGAGCCTCTGGCGATAAGTGCATGCCTCCCTCTAGAGCGAGAACGCAGGTATACCCTCTCGGGCACGGCATTTCCCCATGATACTGCCCGTGTGCGCACATGTACTGACACGTGGTGGGCTTTTCTAAGGGCCTCGGGCCGAGGCGAGGCGTAGAGGTAGAGCCTGAGGAGGGAGGGACGGGGGTTGATGGATTCTGCGAGAGTGGTGACGTGTCGTTGGCTGAAGATGATGTGGATGGGGACGGGGATGACGTGGACGAGCCGTCAGGAACGCACGTGCCCGTAGTGGCGAAGTCAGGGTTGTGGGTCAGACCCTGCGAGTTTCTGGGCCTGCCGAGCTGGTTCGGATTAGGCTCGGAAGCAGGTTCGGAGGCGACAGCAGTGGAGCTGCCAGGCTGGCATTTGAGGCCCGGGCTGCAGTCAATAGGCATGATGTTTCCGCCAAAGCGGCACGGTGATCCCAGAGTAGCAGCGGCCAGGGATCTACGACGAACAGTTGGAGCACCTGGGGGGACGAAAGGGATGGGTTACGTGATTAAGAGAGGCGCGACAGGGGGAGGAGGGGGGGGGGGGGGGGGGGGGGGAAATCGGGAGAGAAGGGGGGCGGGGGCGGTGTGTTAAGTGAGAAGAGGGGTGTTTCGGGGGAGAAGAGGGTGAAGGGAGAGGAAGGGAGAAGGGGGAGGGGAGGAAGGGACGTAAAATTATCCAACAGGGCCGGAACAGCAGAAGAAATCGGTCCTACTTTTTTCTGCCTTATTTATAAAAATGTGCGAAGCGTACCTCCGTCGCTCGATCCTTCACTCGCGCGATGCACGGACGCGAAAGAGACAGACGCCCCGATCAGAAGCAGGAGAACTGACGCGGTAACGAGCGGCGCAATAGCGAGCACCGGCCCCTGCGGCCTTCTGGCGCGGCACATGATTGCCGCTGCTGTTTGAGAGGTCTAGATATTTGCTGCTGAAAAAAATTCGCTGGGCCGGGATACGTGCGGATGGGGAGAGGTAACGGCTGAGAATGGCCAGATGCTAGAGGATTTGGGCAAACGAGTGGGCGACACGTTAAGATTCCGGAGAGCAGAAGCGGGATGTCGGACCTGGTAATACTTCGGCTTAAGCTAGGTTACTGCGAGATATCTCAAAAAGCGTCGGCCATAACGGTCTGTCTGCAAATCGGCGACACGAGCTTGAGAATGCTTTAAACGGGCGTCTAAATCGTGGTAAGAACGGAGGGGAGTGGGAGAACGACCGTTTGCAGAGCGAAGTGTTTTAGTTGCGACAAGATGATAGCTACTGCATTCAGGGGCTTTTTTTTTAGAACAAGAGGTTGGCTGAACCGCTAAACACACCAGCGTGAAGGGGAAAGGCGAAATGCCTACGAACGAAGAAACACACAAGTAAACGAGCCAAGACCTAGGTGGATTGATTGATTTGGTCCGTGTGATGCGACAGCACTGCCAGGCTTCTGCTCTGCTCAAACCTGCACGAGCCAGGCAAAAGCTCAAGTGCTACCCTTGACCTTGAACCACGTGGGGGGGGTGCGCCAATACAGCCTACCTAGCAAAAAAAGATAATCGCGACTGACGTCGCGATCTGCGTGTTTCGCTTCATGAGTCGCGGCGAGGCGGAGAAACCGAGAGAGCTACCGAGCGGTGTGTGTGGCGTGGCGTGGCTAAGAAAACTACGTGACGCGGGTCGTTGGGATTCTCGAGGAAAAACTGAGCGTGGGGCAAATTTGCCTGGAGAAAATAAAGAATGAGAAAACAGATAACCTAGGCTAGGTGTTGGGTTGAATGCAGGAAATGGAGGTCTCTGTGTGGGTGGAACCACGCCAAGCGCGGAGGAAAACCAAGAAAATCAAGCGACAACCCGGGAGCGCTCGACTGCAGTGCAGCGCACCTCCGCTTATTCGCCCCCCTACCCCTAGGCCTTTCTCTTTCCCCCGCCGCCATTCCCCCCACACTCCCCCAGCCTTTTTCCTCACCACCGCCACTGCCAGCCAGCTGTACCCGCCACCAAAGCTCCCCCACCAATCAGGTCCCTCTCCACCTCTTTTCCCCGCAGCTGCCGTCCCCCAGCTGGCCCGAGTGTGACCCCTCGTTAGAATCTCCCTTCCTAGTTCCATTCGCCCTGATCGTCAAGCAAAATCCTGAAATGAAGCGCCTCATCGATATTGTCTCGAAGCGTGTGTGCGAAAGAAATGTACCTGGACTAGATCGCTTCATCTTCGCCGTGCTTGTCCTATCTAGAACGACTCGCGCGCTTTTCTCCACCCGAATATGTGATTGAACAAGCATTCGTAGTACCGAGTGCGATCCGCATGGATTTGTGATGACCAATTTCGTAGCAAGCACATGCACCTGGTAAACAAGATATTTTTACTTTGCAACTGGGCAATACTCAAACATACTTAGAACATGTGTAGCCTGAAAACCATATTTGCTAGTAGCTAAGCTAGGACAGTGCAGGAACGTGTGCTGTATCGTATGCTGTTTGGCTTCACATAACCAGCTAAGGAATGGAGCCTCAGCACCATATTAGGATAGGAGATTGTTAGCTGGGCCATAGCATGCCAATGCAACGGCCTCTTTCTATTGCTTGACCAGGACGATATGCAACCAGAGTGATTTTCGTGATTTCAATAATTATACCTTTATTGACTCTCCTCAGCCTGCAAGATAGAAACGCCACAAAACCAACAGACAACATGAGACATAAAATGCCATCAATCACGGTACGTCCAGCCGAAGCAAACGCCTTTAGCAAACCATGTAATGCGCATAAAATTCCCCTCTCCTATCCGTCTCTCACCTGCTGCTGACGGCGCGTTCCAAACCCCCCTCGAATCTCCTCCGTTGACTTGGGTCGAGGAGTAGCTGCATGCACCGCCCCTGGTCCGAACGCGCCCTCACTCTCCTTGCTGCGACCTGGTGTCGTGGTGGGTGGTGTGGGCGAGAGAAGGGGGGGGGGGGAGGGGGGGGAATGGGGGAGAAGGGGAAGAGGGGGGAGGGAGGGAGGGGACAAAGGGGAGAGGGTTTGGAGACGCCTCAAAACCGGGGTTTCCTCTAGTGTATGCATGATAACGGTACTGCATGAATGCAAAAATAACATGGGTTTATGAATGCATCATAAATGATTTTTCCACTGTACACATGTGAGAACAAGTGTACCTCGGGAATTGGTGCGGTGGAAGCCAAATAGATCCTTCGTGCCGCCCATGCCAACAGCAGCTGGGTGAGGTGCCTTTTGAGTCGACTCAAAAGCCAGCTGTACCTTTGGAGTTGGTGCGGTGGAAGCCAAAGAGACTCTTCTTGCCAGCAGCAGCAGGGTGTGGCGTGGTGACGGTGCCATCCGGTGTGGTCGGGCTGTCACAGGCGACAGAGGTGTCGAGCATGAGGTCTGGTTTCTCTGTAGGGAGGGGGAGGGAGACGGGTGAAGGGCGGCAAACAAGAGAGAACGCAGTGTCAATCATAAGGTCTGGTCACAGGAGTCGAGCATAAGGTCTGGTTTCTCAGTGGGGAGGGGTGGAGGGCAGGAGGGAGGGTGAGCGGGGAAACAGTTTTAGAGGCATCTCAAAACTCATTTTCTCTGGAGCGAAGGGTCGAGGGCAAGAGTGAGGGAGAGCAGCAAGGCAACAGAGGAAGAGAGGGACAGAGAGAGGGAGAGAGTGTAGGGGGAAAAGAGAGGGAGTGGTTTCAAGCATGAGGTCCACTTCTCTGGAGCGAGGGGCAATGGGCAGGAGAAGGGGCGAGGGTAGAGGGGGTGAGAGGGGGGGAGAAAGAGAGGGAGTGGTTTCAAGCACGAGGACCGGTTTTCTGGAGAGAGGGGCAATGGGCAGGAGAAGGGTCGAGGGTCAAGGGGGGGGAGGGGGGGGGGAAGAGAGGGAGTGGTGTCAAGTCAGGCATGAGGACCGGTTCTCTGGAGCGGGGTGGAGGGGGGCAGGAAGGAGGGTAGTGGGTGGAGTGCAAGAGAGAGGGAGAATAGATGGGCAAGTGAGGGAGAATAGGAGCGCAAGTGAGGGAGAATAGGAGGGCAAGTGAGGGAGAATAGGAGCGCAAGTGAGGGAGAATAGGAGAGCAAGTGAGGGAGAATAGGAGGGCAAGTGAGGGAGAATAGGAGGGCAAGTGAGGGAGATAGGAGCGCAAGTGAGGGAGAATAGGAGGTCAAGTGAGGGAGAATAGGAGGTCAAGTGAGGGAGAATAGGAGGGCAAGTGCGGGAGAATAGGAGGGCAAGTGCGGGAGAATAGGAGGGCAAGTGCGGGAGAATAGGAGGTCAAGTGCGGGAGAATAGGAGAGCAAGTGAGGGAGAATAGGAGCGCAAGTGAGGGAGAATAGGAGGGCAAGTGAGGGAGAATAGGAGGGCAAGTGAAGGAGAATAGGAGGTCAAGTGAGGGAGAATAGGAGGTCAAGTGAGGGAGAATAGGAGGTCAAGTGCGGGAGAATAGGAGGTCAAGTGCGGGAGAATAGGAGGTCAAGTGAGGGAGAATAGGAGGTCAAGTGAGGGAGAATAGGAGGTCAAGTGAGGGAGAATAGGAGCGCAAGTGAGGGAGAATAGGAGGTCAAGTGAGGGAGAATAGGAGGTCAAGTGCGGGAGAATAGGAGGTCAAGTGCGGGAGAATAGGAGGTCAAGTGCGGGAGAATAGGAGGTCAAGTGCGGGAGAATAGGAGGTCAAGTGCGGGAGAATAGGAGGTCAAGTGCGGGAGAATAGGAGGTCAATTGAGGGAGAATAGGAGGTCAAGTGAGGGAGAAAAGGAGGTCAAGTGAGGGAGAATAGGAGCGCAAGTGAGGGAGAATAGGAGGTCAAGTGAGGGAGAATAGGAGGTCAAGTGCGGGAGAATAGGAGGTCAAGTGCGGGAGAATAGGAGGTCAAGTGCGGGAGAATAGGAGGTCAAGTACGGGAGAATAGGAGGGCAAGCGCGACTAAGAAACCATTGTATGTGAGGTCTGATTCCCCTCGAGTCTCAACCATCTTACGTGAGGTGAGAGTGTTTTTGAGACGTCTCAAAACACTCTCACCTCACGAGTCTCAACCATCTTACGTCTCAAAACACTCTCACCTCACGAGTCTCAACCATCTTACGTCTCAAAACACTCTCACCTCACGAGTCTCAACCATCTTACGTCTCAAAACACTCTCACCTCACGAGTCTCAACCATCTTACGTCTCAAAACACTCTCACCTCACGAGTCTCAACCATCTTACGTCTCAAAACACTCTCACCTCACGAGTCTCAACCATCTTACGTCTCAAAACACTCTCACCTCACGAGTCTCAACCATCTTACGTCTCAAAACACTCTCACCTCACGAGTCTCAACCATCTTACGTCTCAAAACACTCTCACCTCACGAGTCTCAACCATCTTACGTCTCAAAACACTCTCACCTCACGAGTCTCAACCATCTTACGTCTCAAAACACTCTCACCTCACGAGTCTCAACCATCTTACGTCTCAAAACACTCTCACCTCACGAGTCTCAACCATCTTACGTCTCAAAACACTCTCACCTCACGAGTCTCAACCATCTTACCTCCCCTCCCACATCACATCTCCACACACTCACCTCTTTCCGAGAAGCTTCCTGTTTGCTTCTTCTCCTCCTCCGTCTCCCCCTCCCCCTCCTCCCCCTCCTCCCTGTCCGCCGCAGGGGCAGGGGGGGCAAAGGGTGCAGAGGCAAAGAGCGGAAGGAGGTCTGCAGCTGGGTGCAGAGCGGTGGGCTGCACTTTGGGGGAGCTCTGAAGGAGCTTGAAGGTGGCACTGCTGCGGAGAACCTGGTTAGACGGAGAGAGAGAAAGAGAGAGAGGAAGGGAATGAGGAGTTGAAGAGGAAAAAGAAGAGGCAAAGAGAGGAGGGGGGGAGTGTGAGGAGGGATGGGTAGCAACAGGCTGCACCCAGGGGCGTGTCCTTTTGCTGTAAAAAGGGTAGCTCACCTTGGAGGGTAGCACTTCAAGTGCACCTTGGTGCTTCGGAGGAAGGAGGAGCGCAAGCCAGACGCAGAAGCGCCATCCCCTGGCTGAGTGAAGCCCTCCTCACAGGACACAGTGCATCCTTTTGAGGCGCCTCAAAACTTTTGACTACTTTTGAGGCGCCTCAAAAGCAGTGCGTCCCCGCCCCCTGGTCCCTAACTAGGACACCTTTGAGTCGAATCAAAAGCCGCTTCGAGTGCACCTTGCTGCCTCGGAGGAAGGAGGAGGGCGAGCCGGACGCAGAAGCGCCATCCCCTGGTTGCAAGAAACCCTCGCTCCTCACAGCCCGCAGCGCACCCCCCCTTTACACCCCAGGACTGGAGGACCTGTGAGACAACTTAAAGGCGGCGTCTCGTGTGTACCTTGGTGCCTCGGAGGAAGGAAGACGGAGAGCCAGACGCAGCGGCACCTTCCCCTGGTTGCAAGAAACCCTCGCTCCTCACAGCCCGCAGCGCACCCCCCCTTTACACCCCAGGACTGGAGGACCTGTGAGACAACTTAAAGGCGGCGTCTCGTGTGTACCTTGGTGCCTCGGAGGAAGGAAGACGGAGAGCCAGACGCAGCGGCACCTTCCCCTGGTTGCAAGAAACCCTCGCTCCTCACAGCCCGCAGCGCATCCCCCCTTTACACCCCAGGACTGGAGGACCTGTGAGACAACTTAAAGGCGGCGTCTCGTGTGTACCTTGGTGCCTCGGAGGAAGGAAGACGGAGAGCCAGACGCAGCGGCACCTTCCCCTGGTTGCAAGAAACCCTCGCTCCTCACAGCCCGCAGCGCACCCCCCCTTTACACCCCAGGACTGGAGGACCTGTGAGACAACTTAAAGGCGGCGTCTCGTGTGTACCTTGGTGCCTCGGAGGAAGGAAGACGGAGAGCCAGACGCAGCGGCACCTTCCCCTGGTTGCAAGAAACCCTCGCTCCTCACAGCCCGCAGCGCACCCCCCCTTTACACCCCAGGACTGGAGGACCTGTGAGACAACTTAAAGGCGGCGTCTCGTGTGTACCTTGGTGCCTCGGAGGAAGGAAGACGGAGAGCCAGACGCAGCGGCACCTTCCCCTGGTTGCAAGAAACCCTCGCTCCTCACAGCCCGCAGCGCACCCCCCCTTTACACCCCAGGACTGGAGGACCTGTGAGACAACTTAAAGGCGGCGTCTCGTGTGTACCTTGGTGCCTCGGAGGAAGGAAGACGGAGAGCCAGACGCAGCGGCACCTTCCCCTGGTTGCAAGAAACCCTCGCTCCTCACAGCCCGCAGCGCACCCCCCCTTTACACCCCAGGACTGGAGGACCTGTGAGACAACTTAAAGGCGGCGTCTCGTGTGTACCTTGGTGCCTCGGAGGAAGGAAGACGGAGAGCCAGACGCAGCGGCACCTTCCCCTGGTTGCAAGAAACCCTCGCTCCTCACAGCCCGCAGCGCACCCCCCCTTTACACCCCAGGACTGGAGGACCTGTGAGACAACTTAAAGGCGGCGTCTCGTGTGTACCTTGGTGCCTCGGAGGAAGGAAGACGGAGAGCCAGACGCAGCGGCACCTTCCCCTGGTTGCAAGAAACCCTCGCTCCTCACAGCCCGCAGCGCACCCCCCCTTTACACCCCAGGACTGGAGGACCTGTGAGACAACTTAAAGGCGGCGTCTCGTGTGTACCTTGGTGCCTCGGAGGAAGGAAGACGGAGAGCCAGACGCAGCGGCACCTTCCCCTGGTTGCAAGAAACCCTCGCTCCTCACAGCCCGCAGCGCACCCCCCCTTTACACCCCAGGACTGGAGGACCTGTGAGACAACTTAAAGGCGGCGTCTCGTGTGTACCTTGGTGCCTCGGAGGAAGGAAGACGGAGAGCCAGACGCAGCGGCACCTTCCCCTGGTTGCAAGAAACCCTCGCTCCTCACAGCCCGCAGCGCACCCCCCCTTTACACCCCAGGACTGGAGGACCTGTGAGACAACTTAAAGGCGGCGTCTCGTGTGTACCTTGGTGCCTCGGAGGAAGGAAGACGGAGAGCCAGACGCAGCGGCACCTTCCCCTGGTTGCAAGAAACCCTCGCTCCTCACAGCCCGCAGCGCATCCCCCCTTTACACCCCAGGACTGGAGGACCTGTGAGACAACTTAAAGGCGGCGTCTCGTGTGTACCTTGGTGCCTCGGAGGAAGGAAGACGGAGAGCCAGACGCAGCGGCACCTTCCCCTGGTTGCAAGAAACCCTCGCTCCTCACAGCCCGCAGCGCACCCCCCCTTTACACCCCAGGACTGGAGGACCTGTGAGACAACTTAAAGGCGGCGTCTCGTGTGTACCTTGGTGCCTCGGAGGAAGGAAGACGGAGAGCCAGACGCAGCGGCACCTTCCCCTGGTTGCAAGAAACCCTCGCTCCTCACAGCCCGCAGCGCATCCCCCCTTTACACCCCAGGACTGGAGGACCTGTGAGACAACTTAAAGGCGGCGTCTCGTGTGTACCTTGGTGCCTCGGAGGAAGGAAGACGGAGAGCCAGACGCAGCGGCACCTTCCCCTGGTTGCAAGAAACCCTCGCTCCTCACAGCCCGCAGCGCATCCCCTCCCCCTTGACTGGGTGACTCCTCGTGCCTTGGAGACCCCTCCACACCCACCCCATCCGATGAAACCGCAGTAATAGCACCAGAAGCAGCAACGGCGGCGGCAGCAGCAGCAGCAGCAGCAGCAGCAGCAGCAGCAGCAGTGGTAGTGGTGGTAGTGGTGTTGAAGGAGGTTGTGAGTGGGGGAAGGGGGATGGAGGCTCGGATGGATGGGTCGACGAGGCGCGAGAGCGAGTGAGGCAGGCTGATGGGGAGAAGGGAAAGAGGGGGGAGGGGGAGATATGGGGAAGGGAGAGGGGATCGGGGAGGGGACGAATGTGAGGAGGGCAGAACGGGAGCAAAGTAGAAGGGAGCGAAACAGAAGGGAGCACAGCAGGCGAAGCCACTGTTAGCAGGTTGGATTCAACACATCTTTTTAACATCTTTTGGTCCATTTTGAGGGTTCTCAAAAGTCTCAAATATTGGGAAGAGGACTGAAGAGGAGGAGAAAAGGTTCCCGACGAGACTCACCCGATGGCGTTTTCTCGCGCAAAGAGAGAGAGGCGCACCATCTCCGTCTCTCCATCCAACTGGTGGGAGGGGCAAGAGGAGAGAGGGCAGGGGAGAGTATAACAGATTGGGAAAGGGGCACTGCGTGCAAAGAGAGAGAAGCGCACCATCTCTGTCTCTCCATCCAGCTGGAGTGTGCAGGGAAAGGAGGAGAGGAAGGCGGAGGGAGAAGAGCAGGGGTGGGAAGGCGGGGCGAGGAGAGTTGTAAAATGGGGAAAATTGTTACGGAGAGAACTATTGAAGCAACAGAGCATTTGTGGCGCTTTGAAAATGGTATAAAACCTTATAAGCTTGGAATTCACACAACTCACAAGCACAGAGAACCAAGGACTGAAAGCACCAGCAGACAGCCAAAGGAACTCACAAAGGCAATGCGGCCGTCAGAAGCAGCATGAGGGTTGCCTGAATTGGAGCATTCAAACAACTCACAAGCACAGAGAACTCACAATGCAATGCACTATCAGACGGCTGGATTAACTCACAAAGGCAATGCGGCCGTCAGAAGCAATGCACGTGAGCGGCAGCATGAGAAGACTGTCGTACTGCCAACCGAGCATCTCCGATACTGATGTGGATGTGACCAGCAGCAGATCAGGCAGGGACCTGAGAGGGTGACAAGGGGCGTGCAAACATGCATGACTCATGACTCATGAATGGATGGGTGATAGAGAGAGGCAGCACAAGCTGCAGCATGGGGAGGCTGTTGTACTGCCATCCGAGCATCTCTGACACCGATGTGGGCGTCACCAGCACCAGGTCAGGCAGGGACCTGGAGATGAAAGGATGGGTGATAGAGCAAGGCAGCATGAGGGGCAGCATGAGGGGCAGCATGAGAAGACTGCTCTACTGCCATCCGAGCATCTCTGACACCGATGTGGGCGTCACCAGCAGCAGGTCAGGCAGGGACCTGGAGATGAATGGATGGGTGATAGAGCAAGGCAGCATGAGGGGAAGCATGAGGAGGCTGTTGTACTGCCATCCGAGCATCTCTGACACCGATGTGGATGTTACAGCAGCAGGTCGGGGAGGGACCTGGGGTGAATGGATGGGTGATAGAGCAAGGCAGCATGAGGGGAAGCATGAGGAGGCTGTTGTACTGCCATCCGAGCATCTCTGACACCGATGTGGATGTCACAGCAGCAGGTCGGGGAGGGACCTGGGGTGAATGGATGGGTGATAGAGCAAGGCAGCATGAGGGGAAGCATGAGGAGGCTGTTGTACTGCCATCCGAGCATCTCTGACACCAATGTGGGCGTCACCAGCAGCAGGTCAGGCAGGGAAAGAGAGAAGGAAAGGAAAGGGTAAGGCGAATAAGGCGGTGCATGTACAGGAATAAAATGGAGGCACGGGCAGGCTGCAACCCCAAGCAGCAAGGCCGTACCTGATCTCAACTAGCCCTTGGGACGAGATGACGATGATGGCAGGGGGGAACTGCGGGTGTGCTCCGAACGTGCCTGCCCACACACACTTGTCGTTCTCAAAGATCTTCACCCGCTTTAGCGCTGATCGCTCCGCCTATGAGGGGGGGAGAGGGGAAAGGGGGATGGAGAGGGAGGTGAACAAGAGGAGAGGGACTGGCTTGCAAAGTGCCTGCCCACACACACTTGTCGTTCTCAAAGATCTTCACCCGCTTTAGCGCTGATCGCCCCGCCTTGATACAGGGAAGGGAAGTGAAGGAAAGGAGAGGGTCTGTTGAGATTGACTTGAATCGCAACGTGCCCGCCCACACGCACCGGTCATTCCCAATTAACTTCACCCGCTTTAGGGCTGATCGCAGGTTGGGAAGCAGGTTAGGAACCGGAGGTTGGGAGAAAGAGAGGGCGGAAGGTAGGTAGGGAGAGGGGCATGTGAGTGAGACTTTCGCTGGAAGGCACAAGATGCCAACAGATGCATCAAACCAGCAAACCTGAAGCCGACAGAGAGCCTACCTGAAGCTAACAGAGAGCCACCTGAATCTTCCCACCTGACAGAAAGCCTACCTGAAGGCAACAGAGAGCCATCTGAAGCTTCCCACCTGAAGCAACAGAAAGCCTACCTGAAGGCAACAGAGAGCCACCTGGAGCTTCCCACCTGAAGCAACAGAGAGCCTACCTGAAGCACAACCATGGTGGAATAGAGCCTCAGGCAATCCTCAGACACCAGCAGCACAAAGTGAGGCTCGGGCCAAACCGCACTCCCCGAGCCTGCGACGGAGGTCAGGGAGCGCTTGAACATAGCAGAGGTCCGGTCGTGAGCCGAAGCAAAGCCAGAGTAGCCACCCGAACCAGCACCGGAGGATAGATCCGACCCCATTCCTCCTCTTCCCCCTTTTCCCCCTCCGCCTATAGATCCCATACTCATGCTTGGACCATGAGATACCACCATCCCCCCTCCTCTTTCTCCTCCTTTCTCTCTGCCTCCACCTCCACCTCCTCCTCCTGCTGCGCCTCCTGCAGCTGCTACTGCTCCAGCATTGGTGGGCGAGATAGGAGAGAGGGACATAGACATCGCCTCACCATCATTCCCTCCTGATCCCCCTCCGCCTCTCTGCCCCCTTCCTCCTCCTCCCACCGCCCCATTCCCTTCCTGATCCGCCCGGGCCCCTTGCAGGGCCTCACCCTCTGCATCCCCAGAAGAGACAATGTTAAAGCTCAGACTGCCGCCCGCAGTTAGTTGGATACTGATTCTCGGGCCGCCCCGGGATCTAGGGCTGGGATCCGCACGGGCGGCAGAATTTGGACTGTTCTCGGGCCCAAGAGAGGCGGCAGGGGCGGCGGACGGGTCAGTGGTAGCGGATGTGGTGTCTACAGTGACGGACGGCGGCTTTTTAGGGTTTCGCCGCCCGGAGGGAGGCTTTGCTGTATCGTCCTTCACATGAGGGGCTTTAGACGGGTCAGCTGGGTGTTGTTGTGAGCGTGGGTGCAGGTCGGAGGCTTGTGATTGCGAGCCACTATCTTCTAGAACCCCTTCTCCTGCTGCTGCTTTCGATTTCCGCCCCTTTCCACCGCTCCGTTTCCCCAACCGCCCTTCCTTCCCCCCTTTCCCTCCTCTCCTCCCCCCCTCCTCCCCCCCATCCACACCATCATTCGCCCCCCCATGCCCGTCCCTATACCCCTCCCCATCCCCCCCTCCCCCTGCCCCCCCCCTCAGCCCCACGCCATCACTCCCGCGCCTCTCTCGCCCGTGCGGAGACCGCAGGCTCGGGTCCCCAGGTTCGGCAGCATCGGAGGTTCGGGAGCCTACCGAGCCTGCAGCGGAGGCTCGAGGGTTGAGACCACGGGCCATGGACGGCTGTTGCATGGCCCAGAGGAGCGGCAGCTTGCCTCCAAACGATGGAATCGCGGATCCCATCAGGTCTGTAAGGGAGAACGGGCGATGCGGGGCGGTTGTGAGCGGTGGGGGGTGGTGGAAAGGAGTCAAGAGGGAACTGGGAATCGACCAGAGAGATAGGACATGGTTTTCATTTCTTTACCACTGGCAGAAGAAGCACGCATAGAATCGAAGAACTTACCCAGTGTTAGCAAGCTTGGCTGGGATTCATTATAGGACCTACCCAGGAGGAACAGGCCGACAGCACCGGACGCGTGTTTGGGCTGCATGGGGCCCACACCCACGACATCCCCAGTAGTGCCATCCCCAGGAATGGTCATCGTCGTGTTGGCCGCCGCCACATACACCACCGTCTCATATGCCGCCCACCAGTTGCTTTGCTACTCACCTTCCACCTTCCGTTCGCCTACCACTCAGCTAAGGAGGATTGAAAATACTTACCAAGGAGGAACAGGCCGACAGCGCCAGAGGCGTGTTTGGGCTGCATGGGTCCCACGCCCACGACATCCCCAGTAGTGCCATCCAGAATGGTCATTGTCGTGTTGGCCGCCGCCACATACACCACCGTCTCATACGCCCCCGACGCGCCGCCCGCCGCCCCCCCGCCGCCCGCCCCAACGCTCCCCTTCCTCTGATTCGCCGCGCTCCGGGCGGCGGACGTGTCAGACGCGGCAGTGGCAGCGACAGCGGCAGAGGCGGAGGTAGAAGAGGGGAACGACGCCGAAGTGAGCGACGCGGAAGAAGAGGAAGAGGAGGAGGAGGAGGAATCGGTGGAGGGGACGGGGAGGGCGGCGAAGACTGTCGCGGAGATGGGAGAGGAGGAGGAGCCGGGGTGGAGTTCGCGGTAGCAGATGAGGGTGAAAGTGTCGAGGTTGATGAGAGAGACCATGCCGTTGTTGTCCCCGATTGCTAGGCGTCCCACGCCCGTGGCCAGGGCCACGCTGCGCACCTTGGCGCGGTGCTGGTGGAACTGAGCCACCATCTGAAAGCCCTCCTCGCACTCGCTGGGCGTGGCTGGTGTGGCGTGGGAGGTGGTGGGAAGGGGTTGGGAGGGGTGGGAATGGGGGTGAGTCTGTGAGAGTACAGCAGCCGCACCTTGGCGCGGTGTTGGTGGAACTGGGCTACCATCTGAAATCCCTCCTCGCACTCGCTGGGTGTGGCTGGTGTGGGGAGGGGTGGGAATGGGTCGGAAGCGATGGGAATGAGGGTGAGAGTACAGCACGCTGAGCGCTAGCCGGCCCACACCAGTAGCAGATGAGGGTGAAGGTGTCAAGGTTAATGAGAGACCATGCCGTTGTCGTCCCCGATTGCTAGGCGGCCCACGCCTGTTGCCAGTGCAACGCTGCGCACCTTGGCGCGGTGTTGGTGGAACTGAGCTACCATCTGAAAGCCTTCTTCGCACTCACTGGGCGTGGCTGGTGCGGGAAGCGGTGTAAAAGGGTGGGAAGCGTTGGGAATGAGGGTGAGAGTACAGCATGCCAGTTGTTAGCCGCCCCACGCCCGTGGCCAGGGCCACGCTGCGCACCTTGGCGCGGTGCTGGTGGAACTGAGCCACCATCTGAAAACCCTCCTCGCACTCGCTGGGTGTGGCTGGTGTGGGATGCGGTGGGAGGGGATGAGAACGGGTAGGGAGGGGTGGGAATGAGGGTGAGAGTACAGCACGCGGATGGCCAGCCGCCCCACGCCTGTGGCTAGGGCAACGCTGCGCACCTTGCCTCGGTGTTGGTGGAACTGGGCTACCATCTGAAAACCTTCTTCGCACTCACTTGGCGTGGCTGGTGTGGCGTGGGAGGTGGTGGGGACGATTGGGAGAGGGTGGGAAGGGGTGGGGAGAGATGGGGAGGGAGTGGGACGGAGTGGGGGGGAGTGGGAGGGACTGGGGAAGAAGTGGGCATGAGCAGCATGGGAATGCTCACTTTGGGCCAATGCTGGGGAACAGGGCTTCAGCATCTTAAAGCCTTCCCCACACTGCCTGATTGTCACTCCGTGTGTTAGCATGGGCCGGGAGTGTGATATACAACAGCCCATTCCCCATCAGAGCATCGATGCCGTGAGATCGTTTTTAGAGTAGATGGAAATAAGGCCTTCGCAGCCCACCTGTCTGCTTCTGACAACTGGGAGTGTGATATAAAGCAGCCCATTCCCCATCAGAGCACAGACCACACCCAACCCACCCACCACTCTCCACGCACCCTGCTCATAGCCGCCTGGCTCTGTGTTAATCTGGCAGCACAGCGTTCTCCTGCGCATGCTCAGCTCGAACAGCTCCACCAGCCCGTCCTCATGCCCCACCAGCAGCCCCGCCCCTCCTGCCCCACCAGTCCCCCCTACTTGCAGCCAGCCCTCATGCGTCACATACCTTGCTCGTAGCCGCCTCTCTCCGTGATGATCTGGCAGCACAGCGTTCTCCTGCGCATGCTCAGCTCAAACAGCTCCACCAGCCCGTCCTCATGCCCCACCAGCAGCAGCGCTGACACGGCGCAGAAGTCTACGGCTGTCACTGCCGTGTAGCTCGGCTGGTCATCCGCCTGTGATTGGGGGAAAAAGGGAAAGGGGGTAGGGGTTGAGATGGGGAGGGTGGGGTGGGGAGGACGAGGAAAGGGAGGCGAGGAGGGAGAGGTGTAGGCGTCACATCACTCCACCAGCCCGTCCTCATGCCCCACCAGCAGCAGCGCTGACACGGCGCAGAAGTCAACAGCCGTCACTGCCGTGTAGCTCGGCTGGTCATCCGCCTGTTGTCGTTATGGATCATGGAGGGGTGAATGTTGGGTGAGGGGTGGGAAGTGGTGAGGGATGGAAAGCAGAGGAAAGAGAGGACACTCCACCAGCCCGTCCTCATGCCCCACCAGCAGCAGCGCTGATACCGCACAGAAGTCTACGGCTGTGACTGCCGTGTAGCTCGGCTGGTCATCCGCCTGTGATTGGGGGAAAAAGGGAAAGGGGGTAGGGGTTGAGATGGGGAGGGTGGGGTGGGGAGGACGAGGAAAGGGAGGCGAGGAGGGAGAGGAGTAGGCGTCACATCACTCCACCAGCCCGTCCTCATGCCCCACCAGCAGCAGCGCTGACACGGCGCAGAAGTCAACAGCCGTCACTGCCGTGTAGCTCGGCTGGTCATCCGCCTGTTGTCGTTATGGATCATGGAGGGGTGAATGTTGGGTGAGGGGTGGGAAGTGGTGAGGGATGGAAAGCAGAGGAAAGAGAGGACACTCCACCAGCCCGTCCTCATGCCCCACCAGCAGCAGCGCTGATACCGCGCAAAAGTCCGCAGCCGTCACTGCCGCCGCCTGTTATTGGGGGAGGAAAGGGGTGGGGAAGGGGTATGGGGAGGGTGGGGTGGGGAGGGTGGGGGCCAGGGAGGATGAGGACAGGAGGAGAGGAGGGAAGGGGGGAGAGGACCAATCTCTACATGATACAGACATCGTTGATGGTTCTTACCTGTGTCAGGTGTGCTGGCGCGGAAGCTAGGGGAACGATGAGGGGAGTCGAGACATCGGAGACGTGAGTGACGCCATTGCGGTGGCCTGAGATGTAGAGGCACAGCCCATCCTCGGGAGAAATTTCCGGCTGCTGGCCAAATGAGCCCCCGGCCACGGGCCACTTGGTGCCGTGGGAGAGCGCCGAGGGACAGCGCGTCTGGGAGACCCGGGGCAGCTGAGAGAAGGGAGGAGAGGGAGAGGAAGGGAGGCACATTGGTTGCCGTGATGGCCTGAGATGTAGAGGCACAGCCCGTCCGCGGGAGAAATCTCCGGTTGCTGGCCGAATGAGCCCCCCCCGGCCACGGGCCACTTGGTGCCGTGGGAGAGCGCCGAGGGACAGTGGGTCTGCGACACACGGGGCAGCTGAGAATGGAGGGAGGGGAGAGGAGAGGTGGGGAATGAAAGGTGACATTGAATCATGAGCATATTCGAAGGTATGAGCGTATTCGAAAAGTGGGAGCACACGAGCAGCAACTGAGGCGACACCTGAGAAACCACCTGAGTTGCCACCTGGGCCATCACCTGAGTCATCTCAGAGCCATCACTTGTGGAGCACCTGAAGAGTCACCTAAGGAATACATGACACAGAACCTGAGAAAGGGCAACGGCGCTGGAGCGCACGTTGGAGGCTCCCAGTGGGTGCTTTAGGGGGCGAGGCGAGCATGAGCCTCCCAGTGGTAACTGCAGAGCCTGGGTTCTCAAACGACACGGCATGTGAGGGATCACATTCTAGTCAACTCAGCAGACACCTCGCACACAAATACCACAGGGCTCACCTGGGAGAGCACGTGAGAGGCGTGCGTGCCCCAGGGCGTGAGCATGAGCCTGCCCGTGGTAACCACAGACCCCGGGTTCTCAAAAACCACAGGGCCACGTTGGAGTCAAGTCAACAGCCACAAAGACAGCACAAGAATCTCACATGACGCACCTGGGAGAGCACGTGAGAGGCGTGCGTGCCCCAGGGCGCGAGCATGAGTCTGCCCGTGGTAACCGCCGAGCCCGGGTTCTCAAACGCCACAGGGTCGGGCGGAGTGGGGGTGTGGGAGGAGGGCGACGGGGAGAGCAGGCGCGCACACAGGTGCCGCTCCATGCCCGGCTCGTCGTATAGGTGGACCTGGTGGAGAGGCGTGGGTGGGAAGGGGTGGAGAGAGGTGGGAAGGGATTGCAGGGGGATGGAGAGAGGTGGGAAGGTGTAGGAAGTGGTGGAGCATGAAGGGGGCCTATCCATGGAATGTGTTTCAAATGTCCGTATCGTCCGTATCTGCCTAGGGGAGAACGTACCTGACCGGGGAAGGTGAGCACGAGGATGGCAGAGGCAACCGTGCTGCCGAGAGCACTAGGCGCCACCACCACATCGGCCACGGGCCCAAACCATGGCAGCTTCACCATCCCCTTCTCCCTCATTCCCTCCTCTTTCAACCCCTCCCCAGCTGAAGTGACTTTTCAGTCGCCTCATACGCACCTGCCCACAAAACGGGACTCACCTGCCCAGGGAAGGTGAGCACGAGGATGGCAGAGGCAACCGTGCTGCCGAGAGCAGAGGGTGCCACCACGACATCGGCCACGGGCCCAAACCATGGCAGCTTCACCATGCCCTTCTCCTTCATGCCCTCCTCTAACCCCCCCAGCTGCACCACACTCACTGACCCTGGTAGCCCCGGCATCTCCCCCCCACACACATACAGCCTCCCTCCTCCCCTCTCTGTGCATCTCTCCCCACCTCTTTCTCTGTTCTCTCCTCTTTCTCCTCCTCTATCCCCTGCTCGTCTCGCATCGGCACACCATCGCAGCGCCGTGATCGCCGACCGCTCGCCCTTCCCGCCCTGCACCTGCAGCCGAACCAACGGCTGCGATGTAATCTCCTCCGCAAGCGCCTTCACAGTGCACGGCGAGATCGGCGCAACCAACCACCCGCCAGACGGCGACGACAGCGAGATCAGCGGAGCAGAGGAGGAAAGAGACCCGGACAGTGGCAGTGATCCCATGGCTCCCACTGCTCCCGCTGCTCCCGCTGCCGCTCCCATCCCCCCCCCTACGGGTAACGGCGGGTGCGGCAGCCCCCAAAGCGCAATCTCTCCGTTGGTATACCCAGCAGCAAACACCGATCCAGCCGGGCACGCCCACGACAAGCACGAGAGCTCAGGCCCATCACACTCCTCGTCATCCTCCTCATCCTCGTCCGTGGGTTTCGGGACGTTCCGCCTGCCTGTTTGGAGGTCTGCGAGCCGGTCGCCCGCTTCGGAGAGGCGCGTGCACTGTGTCTCGGAGCCGCCGCGCGTGGCGAGCACGCGCAGGGCGTGGAGGTCCCAGAGGAGCGCGAGGGAGTTGGAGTAGGCGAGGAGGACTCGCGTGTGGAGGGCCTCGGGTTGGGGGAGAATGGCTATGAGGGCCGGCATGTGTGTTGATTCCTGCTTCACAAGACCCGCTGCGAGGGGTGGGCGGGCAGGGGGGAAGGGGGAGGGGGGGGTGATAGTTCTGATGGCCATCGGGTTGAGGAAGGATGGCGATGAGGGCTGGCATGTGTGTCGACTCCTGCTTCACAAGACCCGCTGCGTTGCATGGGCAGGCATGCATGGGAGGGGATGGGGTTGGGAGGGAAGGAATGGGGGTTAGGAAGCAGGGAAGGTGGGAGCGCGAGGGAGTTGGAGTGAGTTGGCTAGACCACTCTAAACAGTTGACCCGCTATACACTGAAGCATTCACTTGATAAACCTCACGGTTTCTCACTCACCCATGGTGATATAGGGAGGCACGGAGTAGGGGCGCTTGTTGAGCCGCCCCCCATCCAGCTCCAACACGTGGAAGACGCCGTTCTCGTCGCCCACATAACTGCGATGGGAGGGAGTGGTGTGCGGTGGAGTAGATAATAACGACCGTAATCAAGTGGTCAGGGGAAGGATGAAAGATGGGGAATGCGTGGCACAGGCGCACAGACTGGATGCAGACGGATGTGATGCGATGGTGGTGGATGAGCGTGGTTACAGGAAGGATGCAAGGTGGAGTGGTGGTGGATACAAGTGGGCGGCAAGATGGTTACAGGAAGCGTGTGCCTGGGACGGTGGAGAAAGCGGTGATGACAAGGAGGGGGATGGTGTGATGGTGGTGACAAAAAGGATGCAAGGTGGTGTCAAGGTTGTGTGAAGGTTGTGACAACTGTGGTTTACAGGAAGCGTGTGTCGGGGACGGTGGAGAAGGCGGTGATGACCACATCCCACTGCAGTGAGTCCGTCATCTGGCGCTCAGCCAGACTCCAGATCTGCACGCATGGGGTTGGGGAAGGGAAGAAGGGAAAGGGGGTTGGAGGAGGAAATGAGGGAAGGAGCAGGGAGGGAGGGGGAATAGGTGATGACGACGTCCCACTGCAGCGAGTCCGTCATCTGACGCTCAGCCAAACTCCAGATCTGAATGAATTGGGGGCGGGGAAGAGAAGGAGGGAGGGAGGGAGGGAGGGAGGGAGGGAGGGAGGGAGGGAGGGAGGGAGGGAGGGAGGGAGGGAGGGAGGGAGAAAGCGGTGACAACGACATCCCATTGCAGAGAATCTGTCACCACGCTTACTAAGTATTCCTGCCCTGCCCTGCCCTGCACCTGCCCTGCACCTGCCCTGCCCTGCCCTGCCCTGCACCATGTACACGGAGTTGCACACAGGCATGTCCACACATACATGCGCGTTCATAATCATGCCCGCGTGCATGCATATCTGCAGGCATGCACATGCATGGATATACATAGGCATGCACAAACCATCAAACCCACGCACCTCAATGGCGTTGAAATAAGTGACCTGCACCATGTAATTGGAGTTGCTTGCACACACCGGCACATACAGAATCAAGCCTATACACAGGCATGCAAACATCCACAAGCACACACCCACATGCGCATACACGCACCTCAATGGCGTTGAAAAAAGTGACCTGCACCATATACTCGAATTTGCACACAGACACACACAGGCACTGCGGCACATACATACATGCACGCACAGACACATACATACAAGCACGCACAGACACATACATACAAGCACGCACAGACACATACATACAAGCACGCACACCCATATGCACATCAACATACCTCAATGGCGTTGAAAAATGTGACCTGCACCATGTACTCGGAGTTAGACACAAACTGTGGAGGGGGGAGGAGGGGAGGGGAGGACAGAACAAGGGAAGGCGAAGGCGGTGAGGAGAAAAAGCATGACGACTTCCCTACGGGTGGGGCGGAGAAGAGGTGGAGAAGGCGGGCTCGGGAGGAGGAGGGGGTGGAGCAGGCAGTGAAGACGGGGAAGGGAATGTGCCTACAGGTGCTTGTTGTAGTGAGCTCTGAGCCAACTCAGTGCTTCACAGAGGCGGCAGAGAAGCGGGAGAGGAGAAAGTGTCTAAAGGCTCGGGAGGAGGAGGAGGTGGAGCAGGCAGTGAGACGGGGAAGGGAATGCAGGAAGGTGTGGTAAGGTGCAAAGCGGTTCTAACCTCGAGGAACTTGCAGGCGGCCTTGGCAGGCGAGCAGAGCAGCGCCTCAATGCCATCGTGCCCGAACACCTTGATGCGCCCATCCCTGGTGGGGAGGGGGGAAAGTTTGTTGGGTGTCAGGTGTTTATTTACTTGGTACCAAACTGGTGTTTCGTTGGCTCGGAGGCGGCCTTGGCAGGCGAGCAGAGCAGCAGCGCCTCGATGCCATCGTGCCCGAACACCTTGATGCGCCCATCCCTGGTAGGGTGGGGTGGGGTGGGGAGGGGTGGGGAAGAGGAACAGGTGATTGGGCGTCAATCCGTGTTAGATTTATCATAGCATCATGCCACCAACATGCCATCGCCCAATCCTTACTGCGTCCCCTCCCCTCCCCGCCGCCAGCACTCGATACTTGGAATCACCAATGAGCACCGCATCCAACACCTCCAAATCCTTTCTTCCATAACTTTCTCCTGAACTCTCTACTCCAAAACCTTCCCCTTCACAACGCCAATACCAGATCCCCATGCCTCGTCGTCCCCCACTGCCGACCAGCAGCCGCTGCTGCACATGCGCGCCAGGCACCCCGTGGTACACGCCGTGATGCACGGCCAGCCCAGCATTCTCTGTAAGCCATCCTTCCTATCCTATGACCACTCCCGCGTCCCCACTGCCAGCAGCCGCTGCATCTCCTATACGCGCTTCTTCCCAGCGCTATCGGAGCTTCCTTACCGCGTTCCCACTGCGAGCAGCCGCTGCACGGGATCGTAGGCGGGCACGGAAGCAGCGCCAGGCACGCCGTGATGCTCGGCGGAGTGCACGGCCAGGCCTGCGCTGCCTGTACGCTATCCTTCTCAGTGCGACTAATGGGCCTCACTCACCGCGTTCCCACTGCCAGCAGCCGCTGCACGGGATCGTAGGCGAGCACGGAGGCAGCGCCAGGCACGCCGTGATGCACGGCCAGCCGCGGCTCCAGATGCGGCGCTCTTAGACTCCCCGCCGGCACGGACTGGCGGAAAAATCGAAATGGGGGGGGGGGGGAAGAGAGCGGAGGTGGGAGACGGGAGGGGGAGGGGGAGGGGGAGGAGGAAGGAGGGAGGATGGGTGGGGAGGGGGAGAAGAGGGGATGAGTGTGCTGCGGGTGGTGAGCGGGGGAGGGTGACCGGGAATAAGGGGGCTGAAAGTTCCGGAGCAGGATGAGTGTTGGGGAGATGGGGAGGCGGGAATATGGCGCGGTTGCGGGGAGATGGGGGAGACGGCGGAAGGGGTTGCGGCAGTGACTGGGAAAACGGAGTGTGCGACTGAGGAAGCACAGCGCCAGACGCGCCGTGTTTCACGGATCAGATCGCACAGCATGAGCTGGAACCCTAGGAGAAATACCCCTCGGCACAGGCATCTGTCGAGATTGCACACGTTATAGGACTTCTGAACGCGAACTTAATGGCGAGGTGAGAGATTAGTGCTTGTAACGAAACGAGGTGAGAAGATGCTGCTTATAACGAGGCGAGGCCAGACAATGCTGCTTATAACGAGGCCAGGTTAGACAATGCTGCTTGTAACGAGGCGAGTTCAGAGAAAGCTGCTTGTAACGAGGCGAGTTCAGAGAATGCTGCTTATAACGAGGCGAGAGGTAAGGAATTCTCACATTGTTACGAGCAGCATTCTCTTCCTGGGCCGCATTGGTGCTTGTACAGTAGAAAAACGAAAACACTGCGTCGGCGAAGCTGAGGTTCATCGAGAAATGCTATCGCGCTACGCTATAACGGAGCGCAACACCAGGCTTCGACGGACATTGACGGAGCTAAATAGGCTAATGCGATAAAGCTGTGTCTCCAACGATTTATCATATCAGTAGAGACTGAATGCAGAGATATATTGACTGTAACGTTGAAGCTAATACTCAGTCATGAGCTACAAACGCAGAGCTCCAAACAAACTGCATTCACGAAGGAACTAGAACCTGCATTAGTGTTAGCTAGACTGCGCGTATTGGGGGAGAGTATGAATGACTCTTCGAATTAGGGTTACAGGCCAGAGCTGGACTGGATAGCGCTACGGACGGCTTCGATATTACCGACATTGCTGTAAGAACTACGACAAAGGAAACCCTAAAATGGCATAGAACCACAATCTGCTGCGCCTGTCGATCTGTCGCTCCGAGGAGGAAAAAACAGTCAGTGACCACGCGATTTGTAAACCTACAATGTCACACGAACGAATGCGGGAAAACGAGCGCAGGTGCTATGTCTTGAAAGAAACGATGTTAGGGTTTCGCACTTGCTCCGGGGCATTGACGGGAGGGCAAAACTGCTTCCTTCGCCAACCATTGCCTTATGACGCTACCCACCGACTAGTTAGCTACACTCCCCCTGATAGTTAAGTAGCATTCCGACTTTCCTTGTCACTTATAGACTACACACCTCGGGTAAGGCCTTGGCTATCAACCGCTTGAGCATGGCTGCTTTCCCGAGTTGACCAGCGACCCTCCGCAAGGGTCGCGATACCGAGATTAGACGGAAATGTTTCTAAATGCTACAGTGAATAAAGTTGAGCGGCATGATAGAATGCCGCTATTGACGTTTATGAAAGTTCGTCGAAACCTCCGTGGTCTATAACGATATAGGTCGCGCCATTGTACTGTCCAAGCCGCGTTGTAACATCTCTCGAACGCGAAGGAATCGCCGCAAAATTAGGGCTGGATTGGAATGGAACACCACGCAGAGGAATAGTATCCGACAGCGGATAAGGGAGGGTGAAGCTCAGGAATTATCCTAATCACGTGAAGGGAAGCAGTGTCACGCAAACAAAATGATTCAGTTCCAAGTAGCAAAGTATCACCAGCTGGTTAAAAGTTTCAACAAGCTCCACTTTCATAAGCTCCAGAAATGTTTAGCTAAGCCATCACATCCAGAAATAGGGCCTTCAAACCAATAAGCACACTCCTTGAAAACTGCTTGCCCTATTGCAGTTCCGCCCCGAGAGAATAGCGCCCAGACTCCCTAGACTTTTTCCGCCAGGCTTGATGTGCTTTTCGCGCCAGATACTCGGAGGTGTTCACTCCGCTCCGCGCGCGAGAGCGACCAAGGCCCACTGGGGGAATGCTGCAGATGTGTTCCGCCTCCCCCTCAGTCCATTGCCCAGGTGGCAGGACATGCCTCTTGTTTGGAATTGAGTTGAAGCGAGAAGTGGAAAATCTGGCGCAAGTCGCGAAGAACGGAGCCAGCAGCTAGCGATTCGGGATGGAGGGCAAGCTGCGCGGCGAAAAGCACCTGCGACGGGACGCATGGAAACCAGCAGGTGCCATTTGCGAAGTTCAGCGAAAGGCAAAACTCATATTGACTTGCTTCTCACGGAGCCCTGTCTATGCAATTCTTGTCAAATTTGAAGCAAGACACTTCTGCAATCATTTAGATGGATGCATAAGCACCACCTAGGTTATCAACTGTACTACAAAGTAAGATATTTCGTGCATATTGGATCTCAATACATCTATAGCACATAAGGAGACTAGTTATTGAGACTATCGCCGCCTCATGCCTCGGCCCCTCCCTCGCATCCCACCTCCTCCTCTGCCCATGCCACCCATTCCACCGTCTTGCGCAGCCTCGGACTGCACAGGAAGTAAATTGATGCAAATGGGGAAAAAATGACACAGGAGCAGCAGCAGTATTGTGCTATACGCAAAACAACACTATCTACTTCGCTTGTGGTTCTTAACCACCCCCTGGTGTCTACCCTTTCCTTTCCCCCTTCCCTTTCCCCCCCTTCCCCCCCCCCCTTCCCTCTCCCTTGCTCCTCCTCAGCCCCCCCACAAGCAAGCATCCCATTAGTGTGCCTTCCCTTCCCTGTCTCATCATCCCCATCCGCTCTCTATCAACAATCTCCAAACCACCGATGCCATCAAACACAGAAAATTAGCCCCACACAGAGCAGAAAACATGTATAGCGATTTTTTTCAAAAGATAAGCCTCATTACCCCCTCCCCTTTCCCCCCAACTCACTCGTGGGTTGCGAACTGTCTCGTCAACACTGAGCACAAGACAGGATGCCTCTGTTGCTGCTGTGATGGCATTCACCTGAGCGAGGGGCAGAGACGGAGTGGGGAGGAAGAAACGTGGGTTTGTTTGTGGAGAGCAGTACTCATACCCCACCTGTTATTCATAAGCACACTTCAAGCTGACTACAAAATATAACTTGACCGGAATAAACTCGCATTGACCAGCGTTGACTAACCTTGACCAGCATTGACTCACCTTGACCACAATTGGCTCCCAGACGAACGATGCATATGTGTCGACAATGCCGCCTGAATTCACATCCACTCCAAAACGCTGCCCCTCACCTGCATCAACGGACAAGAACCACAGGGCACCACGTGCGCAACTCTCAGATTTCTCGAATGCAACAGCACAAAATCAAGGTCGGCACCAGAAAAAAGGAATTGTTTCTTCAATTTCTCGGACGTATGTGAAAGTTAGAATGGACAAATTGAAAATCCACTCACCAGAAGGCAGCGCGTGTTTCTGCCTGAGCTTGTTTAGCACATCAGTGGAATCGAACCCCGCATTGTCACACAGCTGGCGGGGGATCACCTGCCCTCGTGAGGGTTGCAGGGGAAGGCAGAAGAGACAAGGGAAAGAAGAGAATGCCTCAGAATGATTAGCTGAGAGCATGAGCAGCAAACCCAGAAGTAGGGCGTGTTTCTGCCTGAGCTTGCTGAGCATGTCAGTGGAGTCGAACCCTGCATTGTCACACAACTGGCGTGGAATCACCTGTGTATAATCACACAAATGAGAGAGGATGAAGAAAAAGCGAGGGCAGAGGATGAGGCACCATGAGGCATACGGAGGACAGCACAAGAGGGGGCAAACTGCTGCAGAGATCATTGTCAATGCCATGTACCTGCCCCCGCCACCACCGCACACAACCGCACCCCACCATTACTCAAATTCTATGCCACCCACCTCGAGCGCACGCGCATATGCATTGATGAAAAGTTGCTGCTTGCCCGCTATGGTGCGCGCATGCAGACGCAGGTGACGACTGATCTCCATCTGATGGGGAAGTGGAGTGGAGGGAAGGCGTGTAGAAGGAGATAGAGAGAGCGAGGTGAATGGGAATAAGAGAATCTGATTGCCCGCTATGGTGCGCGCATGCAGACGCAGGTGACGACTGACCTCCATCTGAAAAAAAAAAAGGTAGGTTGGAATATTAAATAAAAATAATAAGCAACTGGTTTGCAGGAGCGGGGGATAGGGAGAATAGAGGGGGCATGCATGTGAGTAGAGGAGAGTACGGGGGAGGTGAGTGGTCATGGAGGCATGGGACGACTTGGAGATGGCTCACCAGACTCGACCAAAGTACATCAGTAATACCTCCCCCAGAAAGGACAAAGACGGCACTTACATCAATGGCACCTCCCCCGGGCACCACTGCAGCGTTCTTGATCGCGCGCCTCACAATCATGATGGCATCGTGTAGGCTGCGCTCTGCTTCCTCGATGAACTGCAAGGGGGAACGAAAGGTGATGAAGGGGAGAAAAGGAGAGAAAGGGCAGGGGTGCGCTTTGGCTCGAGTCACAATCATGATGGAATCGTGCAGACTGCGCTCTGCCTCTTCTATGAACGGAAGGGAGGGAACAAATGAGGACAGCGGGGGAGGGGAGTGGGGGGGAAAGGGGAAACGTGTGCACTTGTGTTCACCACAGCTCGCCTCACGATCACGATGGCATCGTGCGGACTGCGTTCCCTTCCTCTACGAACTGAAAGAAAGGGAGGGGAAGAGGAAGGGTGGAGGGAAAGGGTGGAGAGGAAGGGTCGCAGATGCATCACTCCAAAACAAGGCGCCCTGCTCTGGGGGGTTGTGAGGAGGAGGCGCCATGCTGTGGGGGGTTGTGAGGAGGAGGCGCCATGCTATGGGGGGTTGTGAGGAGGAGGCGCCATGCTATGGGGGGTTGTGAGGAGGAGGCGCCATGCTATCGGGGTTTGTGAGGAGGAGGCGCCATGCTATGGGGGGTTGTGAGGAGGAGGCGCCATGCTATGGGGGGTAGGGAGGAGGAGGCGCCATGCTATGGGGGGTAGTGAGGAGGAGGCGCCATGCTATGGGGGGTAGGGAGGAGGAGGCGCCATCCTATGGGGGGTAGTGAGGAGGAGGCGCCATGCTTGGGGGGTTGTGAGGAGGAGGCGCCATGCTATCGGGGGTTGTGAGGAGGAGGCGCCATGCTATGGGGGGTTGTGAGGAGGAGGCGCCATGCTATGGGGGGTTGTGAGGAGGAGGCGCCATGCTATGGGGGGTAGTGAGGAGGAGGCGCCATGCTATCGGGGTTTGTGAGGAGGAGGCGCCATGCTATGGGGGGT